AGAAAAAAACCCTCTGAAACTTGTACAAAACCGGAAGGAGTATATTTGACACAGAAATACTCTGTTCTACATTCATATCGTTTTTTGAAACTTTGGCCATGTTTAGCATGAGAATCCAACTCTTTAACAGTGTAAATAACTCAACATGCATGAAATAGCAGTAGACCTCCCCTTTAACTTTGCAACTACATGTCAACTTAATCCACTGTCCCTAACCATAAGTCTACTATAATGAGAGTTAGTTGACATGTAGATGCAAAGTTATATTAATTTACAAAGTTACAAAGGTTATAGTTTTATCCAGCAAATATGCCTTAAATTGATCAAAAGTTGCTGATCATTTGAAATTTCTATTAATAATTTTTGGAATTCTTACAAAAATCCTTTCAAAGAATTCCACAAAAACATTAAGCAGCACAACTGTTTTCAACATTGATAAGAAATATTTATTGAGCACCAAATCAGCATATTAGAACGATTTCTGAAGGATTACGTGACACTGGTAATGGCTGCTTTAAATTTAGATTGGCACAGGAATAAATTACATTTAAAAATAATTAAACGTTATACGTGAAAGCTGGTTTCTCAGTGATCTGTGCAGTCAGAATCACATTCATCTACTTTGAGGTTACAGAGATGAAGTCCTAAATGAAGGCAGCTGAGATACCTCACTCAACCTGTCACAGTGTTTGTGGGATGGGTCGATCCAGACCCGCCAAAGTGACCTTCTTAGTTTTCTGTTTTTCCTTTAGTGGTCGCTGATCTGATAAAGTCTTTGATAGGTGGAAGCAATAAGAAGGAATCTCACCTCACTCAGTGGAAGCCAAACAGATGAAATCCAGTGGGATTTGGGCTCAGCTGTAACCGTGTGAGCAGCAGGGGTGATTAGACAGCGAGGTCTGCAGTCAAGGTAAAGCCCACGTTAAACCAGCTCAGTGTCAAACTCCACCGTAATGCTCTTAGGAGCAGACAGGATGCTGAGCATCTTCAGTGCCGTTTAATACCCAGAGTGCTCTAGGAAATCTCGCTGTAGCCGCCCCATTCAGGAAGTATCTTGAAATATATCAGTGACTGCTGCTGAAGAATTGAGATAACATGGCCAATAACTTTAGAAGGCAACTTTTATGATTAGGGCTCTGATATTTATCAGAACGAAAAAAATCAATCAATCAATCAATCAATCAATCAATCAATCAATCCACAATAGCCCATATCTACATTGTAAATAATAATAATAATAATAATAATAATAATACATTCAAAGATTACATTTTTCAAGAAAATACAATTTCAGTTTTTCTACTTTAAAATGTTATGTTTAATTCAATGTGTTTTGACTTGCCATTTCTTTGTAATTGTTTGTGTAATTTACTAGCAATTTCTGAGGTTTTTGTTGTTGTTTTCCTCCACGTAGATGATCAGGGCCTGTACTCATGAAAATTCTTAGTACAAAGAGTTGCTCCTAGTGACAAAATTCTAAGAAAATTCTTAGAAATGTGGGTGTTTCCTCTTAAAATTAATGAAAAGATCCTAGTAAAGAAAAAAGTAATTCAGAAATGTACAAGGACTTTTAAGAGGCTTAAGAGTTTCTTTAGCAGTGGAGAAAATCAACAAAACGTGAAGAGGGAGAAGAGATGCATTGCACACAATGCATGCCAGTGAGTTAATAAGACACTACACATTAGATCGTGGAGTGATCATGTTTGACCGTGATCATGTGATCAGTGATAATGACCGATATTATTAGAAACACGCTAACATCTCCGACACAGTTTAAAAATGCCATAGCGCCAGAAATGAAAGTAATCACTACATTAACTACGGCCATGTTCACACTGTCAGTTTTAGGGATTGACAACCGCATTTCCTTAAAGGTGTGAGTCTCGAAATGTCCCGTTCAAACAGCAGCTTACAGTAGCATCTCATCTGTATTAACGTGCAATGAGAGTCAAGCCCGTATAAGCATTCGCATCCTTAACATGGAGGGAGAAGAAATGTGTTGCACAATGCATGACAGTGAGTTAATAAGACGCTACACATTAGATGGTGCAGGGATCATGTTTGTGACCGATCTTATTAGAGACACGCTAACATCTCGGACACAGTTTAAAAATGCCATAGCGCCAGAAATGAAAGTAATCACTACATTAACTACGGCCATGTTCACACTGTCAGTTTTAGGGATTGACAACCGCATTTCCTTAAAGGTGTGAGTCTCGAAATGTCCCGTTCAAACAGCAGCTTACAGTAGCATCTCATCTGTATTAACGTGCAATGAGAGTCAAGCCCGTATAAGCATTCGCATCCTTTTCTGCATCCCACACATGACACTGCATTTGAGTCACGCACAGAACACAAAACTGACGGAAACCGCTCCAGTGGAGAACAGTGACTGGATCTAAAACTTTCAGATGACGCACAGCTCATTTCTTGGTCGCTGTAACTTACCCAGAGTGAAACCACACATGAGCGGCTCTCTCGCACTGTACTACAACTGGTCGTTAAGTTCATACAGCGCGTGTTTTCTGAGAATGCGGTTGTGAGTCCTGAAAATAGACGGGTGTGAGTTTGGTTATAGAATGCTGTTGTCACCCCTGTAAATAACTGTAAATGCAACCTTGTTAAGGACTCAAATACAGGACTGACACTATTATTCTGCTGCTGTGTGAACGTGGCTTTACATTAACATATTTGGCAACTGGAAAAATGCAACTTTGCAGCAGTGATGATTTGGGTCTGTCATAACCTTCTACAAGCAAAGTGATCACACAAACAATTACAACACTTTCAGAACCTTATTGTGTCACTGTTTGTTTTCTACAAAATACATTAAGTATGACAGCATGGTAAATAAAAAATAAACTATATATACATATATAATGAGAGAGAGAGAGAGAGTGTGAGTGAGTGAGTGAGTGAGTGAGTGAGTGAGTGAGTTTTAGAACGCATCTTAACCCTTAAAAGAGGTCTTAAGATCCAAAATTGTTAGGAGTACGGACAGGGACTTTTAAGAGGCTTAAGAGTTTCTTTAGCAGTGGAGAAAATGGACGAAACATGAAGAGGGAGAAGAAATGTGTTGCACACAATGCATGACAGTGAGTTAACAAGACGCTACACATTAGATGGTGCAGGGATCATGTTTGTGACCGAGCTTATTAGAGACACGCTAACATCTCAGACACCGTGCAGAAATGCCATAGCGCCAGAAATGGAAGTAATCACTACATTAACATATTTGACAATTGGAAAAATGCAACTATGCAGCAGTGATGATTTGGGTCTGTCACAACCTTCTATAAGCAAAGTGAAAGCACAAACAAGTACAGCACTTTCAGAACCTTATTGTGTCGCTGTTCATTTCCTATAAAATACATTAAGTATGACAGCATGGTAAATAAAAAATAAAGAATATATATACATATATAGTGTGTGTGTGTGTGTGTGTGTGTGTGAGAGAGAGATAAAACAGGAAAAATTACGCCTGTCAGTTCAAAGTGAAGGCTTATAATAGACCCTACTCTTAAAAGCGCTCTTTTATTCCCTTTTTGGACAACCAACCAATCACAGTCTTCAAAAGACTGTCATACGTAGCAACGGGGTTAGCCCCGCCTCCTCACTAAAACGAAAGTTTTTGTCTTTTCCTCGTTTAGAGTTGCTCTCAGATTGGTCCTGAATCGCTCTTAAGCTAACACTCTTACGTAGAAATGTTTAAGCTAAATTAAGAGCACTCTGAGAGGATTCTTAGAATCTGTAGGAATACGGGCCCAGGTGTGTGTGGGTGTCTCTGTGCACTTCATAAATTTCATCTCCAGAGCTGCTCTGAGAGTCACTTCACAAGCATTTCTCCATTTAATTTGAAGAAAATTATCGCCAAATATACACTGAGGCTACGTTTACACTAGTGCATTTTCGTTTTAATGCTACGGTTACACCTGTCATTTACACTACCCCGGCATTTTTGAAACTCGAAAATGGAGACTTTTGGAAATGCTGCAGACCCCGTTTTAGTTTGAGTAACATGTGTTTCTCGGTTGTGTTCGTTAGATGCTGTTTTAAAAGGGAAACGCACTAGTGTAATCAGGGCTTAAAACTCAAAGGTCTACATAACAAGCTATCGAAATAATTTCTTCAAATTAAACCAAACTTATGACAGAAATATATTTTAAAAAGTAGAGTCAAATGTATTTCAAAAAATAACAACAATAATAATCATCATCATCATTTAAGAAATATCATATAACCAAGATATTTTTTTCATCCATGTTTTAATTTATACAGTATACAAGTACTGTTGTGCAGGACCTTATTTGAGGGGGAAAAAGGCAATATTGTTGTTGTTGTTGTAAATTAGGTGGTATATTTTTGTTTGATTGCATTTTAAAAGATTAATTAAATTGTTCACTTTTATTAAGTATTTTGAACAGACACTGTTTTTGATTATATATTTGTATGAAAACAGAATTTATTCTGAAACATATGATTTCATGGAGCTCATTTACATTATCTTACAAACAAACATGTTTACATTCATTTTCAAGGTCTAACAAATAGGTGGAATGCATTTTCCTTCTCCATTAATGGTATGAAATGAACATTGTGATAGATATTTATTATCAAATGAAATGGGGAAAAAATATTGTGATATTTTTGGTAAAATATCATCCTGTTCTAGTCATGATTTAACAATACTGTCAGTTCAATGATAATGAGATAATTATAGTGAGTGTGTGTTGCTGTAGATGTGAAGGTGCAATGCTGATTAGAGTTGTGTTGAAACAGTGCTGTTTAATAATGGCTCCTCAAAAACAGGACAAAATCGAATTTTTCTTTCAGTGTGTGTAAATGTGTGTGGGGTCACTTTTATTCACCACATTACGGCTTTTGCATTTGTTGTTTGCATTTTGCATATGCAATTTGGAGTCAGCAGCTTTTCCTTTTTTGTATTTTTTTTCGGTGTCTTTTCTTTTATTGAAATTTTGATGTAAAAAGAAAAATCTGAGTGCCTAACCCTTTATAATATGATTATGAAAGTGACAATTCCACAGGGGGATCCAAATGGCCCTTTGTAATCCTCTGAGAGAGTATTTATGTATCTCTCTCTCTCTCTCTCTCTCTCTCTCTCTCTCTCTCTCTCTCTCTCTCATTCTTGTTATTTCTGTATTCTCTCTTTCCTACTCGAACTCAGTCTCTCCAAAATGTCTCTCTCCCCTTCCAGTTTTCTTAGTTCTTGCTGTGAAACATCTCTTTTGCCTGGCCCCAGAGACGCAGGATTCCTGTTAGTTAGCTTACGTGCTGAGTTCAGAATGAAAAAAAAATTGCAAATTGCATCTCTCCCTCACTCTGTCAGCAGAAATCAGGAATGAGAGAGTATGACAAAGAATGAGAGAATGAGGGCTGATTGGACTTGAACTAGTTGGGTTAAAAGGGATCAACAGACTTCATTGTGAGTGTGTATCAGGGCCAGAAATTTACCAGATTTCTGGAGGAAGATGATCCGGATAATTACAATGCGCAGTAAAAAAATATTATTATTATTATTATTTGTATCTGTTGAAATATTGCATATCATTACACAGCTCTCTGGAACACTTGATTCTAGCATTTATTTTTATATAATGACTATTAAACTGTACAACTGACCATTGGCCCTGGCAAACATAATCCCATATTGAGCCAGTTTCTTTCTCTTGCATCACTCTACCATCTCTTCTCACATAATACCGGCTTATTAAATTTATTATAATTTCCATTCATGCATCAATACCAAATAAGAATATCCTCATTTGAGACAAAAGAAGATACTGTAAAATCTAGTTCAAAACACAAATGCAAAGGTCCTGAAATGTATTCTTGGCTTTCATGTTGGTTTGATACATTTTGAAAAAGGCATGCATTTATTTATTTATTCCTTAAACCTTGAATATGCATGAGTATGGACATAAATATAGATAGACATACCTTTTGTTTTTAGTTTTTGTTGTTGTTTGAAAGCAAAATGGCTTCCTGTTGGATGAACCCCAGTAACTTTGACTGAAGTAGTATTTAATAATATAAATATAAATATATGTATATATATATATACACAGAGAGAGAGAGAGAGAGATTCATTGTCGTTACTTAGCATTCTTTTGATTTTGGGGTAAAATATGATTTGGATATTTCTCGATGAGATTCACCTAAAGATTTTTCAAAAGAGCCTAAAGATTGTCATCAAGATGAGTTTAGAGTCGCTTTGTGAATGTGTTATGTGAATAGAAGATGTTCTGTACTGAATTTTACTTCATTTAGTAACAGTTTAAAGTGACAAAACATTTACAAGTAACTAGTGTTTATCACT